CCCCCACGGTCCACAAACAACAAAACCGCGCAGAAACAACAGCCCCGCCCCTCGCCAATCGGTCCCAGCCCGGCTGTCCCTGTCTCCGCCCCTGCAGTCGGCTCCGCCCCTGCTCCCCCAGCCCCGCTCCACATGGACCGCGTCTGTCCCTCATCGCTTGGACAGGGAGAACACAGGGCTAAAAAGGAAGCTCCTGAAGAGCCAATTGGAGCCTCATTACCATAAAATGTGCATCACATTAGCATCTCAGCAGCGTCTCACCAGGCCGCAACAGCAATACACCACTGAACTCCAAGGAACTTTAGGACTGCGCCCCCCCAATCTGACACTGGTGCTCTCTGAACAGCCAGTCGTGGCCAAATTTGCATCTCATTAGCATCCCTGTGCTGGGACACTGAGTTCCAGTGCCACTTCCCTGACACCCTCCTGTTGCTTGCCATGATGGGACCCACTCAAGCAGGGGTGACATTCATGGCACATGCGGCTATGTGGGGGCCCTAGGGACTCTTCTGCGGCCTCCTGCGACCTCCGTGCGCCCAGGGCCAGGGAGCTCTATGGCCTTTCGTGAGGCCTCCGTGCGCCCTGGATCAGGGGAGCCCTATGGGCTTTCGTGCGGCTTCCCGAGACCTCTGTGTGTCCTGGGACAGGGGGACCTATGAGTTTCCTGTGGCCTCCCAGGGCTTCCTTGTGCCCTTGGCCAGAGGGGCCCTATGAGCTATCGTGCGGCCTCCGTGTGCCCTGAGTTAGAGGGGCCCTATGGCCTTTCGTGAGGCCTCCCTGGGGCCTTCCCGTGCCCTGGGCTGGCGAGGCCCTATGGGCATTCGTGTGGCCTCCCGGGCCATCCCTTTGCCCTTGGCCAGGGGGGCCCTATGGGCTTTCGTGCGGCCTCCCAGGTCCTCTGTGTGCCCTACGCCAGGGGAGCCCTATTGGCTTTCGTGAGGCCTCCTGGGTCCTCCACACGTCCTGGGCGAGCAGGGCCCTATGGGATCTCGTGCTGCCTGCAGGGGCATCCCTACGCCCTAGGCCAGGGGGGCCTTATGGGCTTTGGTGCTGCCTTCCGGGGCACCCACAGGCTCTGGGCAAGGTGGGGGCCCTTTGGGCTTTCGTACGGCCTCTTGTGGCCTCCGTGTGCCCTGGGCCAGGGGGTCCCTATGCGATTTTGTGGGCCTCCACAAGATCTTAGCAGGGATTTTTTATGGGCATTCGTCTGGACTCCCAGGGCGAGAAAAAAGACTGGCCTGGGGGGTTGCATAGGGTTTCATGCAGCCTTCCAGGGCTTCCGTGTGCCCAGGGCTAGGGGGGGGGGCCCATGGGCTTTCATGCCGCCTCCCAGGGCCTCCGTGTGCTCTGGGCCATGGGGGCCTTTTGGCCTTTTGTGAGGCCTCCCGGGGCCTCCTTTTCTACTTGGCCAGGGGGCCCTATGGGCTTTCGTGCGGCTTCCCAGGGCCTTCGTGTGTCCTGGGACAAGGGGACCTATGGGCTTTTGTGCTGTCTCCGGGAGCCTCCGTGTGCCCTGGGCCGGGGCGGCTCCCTCCCTTCCTGGCCCTTCCATCTACACGGCCTTGGTCTCATGGCCCTTCACGGGAACCTCCCCAGTCCGGGCTCTCGCAGCAGCCTGCACTGACTTGCGCAGCGATGACCTGCCCTCAGACCACGGCAGTGGATGGCCCTGTGCGCTCTCCTTGTCCTGTTTTTTTCTTTCAGCTTGTGCATGCTGGCCTTCCCCAGGCGAGGGTCTACAGGCCCTCACAGAACTGATACACACATTTTCATGTTTTCCTGCCTCGCTTTGCTTCTCATCTCCCATTTATTCATCATCTTCTCCCCTCCCCTTCTCTCCCCTGACGTACTATCCTCCTCCTAAGGGTTTAGTTGCCTGTGCTGAAAGCCAGCTCTGAGGGGGCACAACCATCTCATCTTGGATCAGGCATCTGATTTGAGCACAGCTCTGCCTCCTCTGCTCCCACCGTTCTCGCCCTCCCACCGCAGGGGCCCCTCTCCCTTCGGCTTGGGAGCTGAACAACAGGCAACTTACTCTCTGTTTTCCAGCTCCACAAATGCAGCGTGCCGCCTCTGGTTTTGAGCACCAAAACGCAGACCCCCATTTCTGAGCTCTGAAACCAATCCAGCGAGTATGTTTTCAAGATCCAGCAAGACAGGCCTTTGCCTCCCATTCTGAGTCCTTGCAACCACCCCTTCACATTCTATTTTAACACCCCAGAGACATCCGACCCCCATCTCTGAGCTCCAGCATAGCACCCTGAGCCTGCTTAGAAGCCCTCTGGTCCCACACTGGTGAGGGGCAAAGCGACGCCCAGGGCGTCGGGACAGAAACACCTGCTGCCACCGGAGACTCAGCACACTTTATTTCACTGGTGCTATGCAGGCTGCTCAAAGTCGGTGGTGCCAAGGAGCTCAGCAGCCGCCTGCTCCATCTGCGGGTTGCTGTTGTCTGGCAGCACCTGCAGAGCTGGGGCATCACTGTTGGCCCCAGCACCAGCACACCCTCCCCAGGAGAGCAACCTAGCCCCGTGGCTGTCCCCGTGGCTATTGCCGGATCAGGAACTGCTGTGGTTCTCTGGGACCCAAACTCCCCCGAGCCCTCAGGCCCAGAGAGCCAAGGCCCCGTTCCCTACCTGCCAAGGGGAGCATCTCTTCTTCTGCCGGCAGCTGCTCAGTGCCTATGTGCTCCACGAGGGCGGCTGCGCACACAGGGCAACACACTGGCATCAGGGCGCTACCCACAGCCCCCCAGCCCAGACCACATCCTGGCCCTGAGTCCCTGCTTGGGGAGGTGCAGGGTGATGCTACCAACCCTGAAATGCTGCAGGGCAACAAGGGCAGCCAGGGATCTCTGACCTTGCCAGGCCCTCCAGATAGCCCCGGGCAGCAGGGCCAAGCTGCCTCACTCCAGGGCTGAGGCTCCCTGAGAGCACAGGACTCACAGCGCATTTCCTACCCCATCTCCAGCACCGCAAACCTCGCTCCGGCTGCCGCCATGCAGCCCGACCCTGGGTAGACATGGAGAGTGGCAGCGCGGCAGGGAGCAGCTGCAGCGAGTACCAGCTCTGGCTCACCAGCAACATTGAGGGCCGCAGCCTGCAGCTCCCCGCGGCTCCTCAGGACACAGCGTTTGGTAGCGGCGTACAGTGCCTGTTGGTGCTCAGGGCTCTCCTGAGCCTAGGGAATACAGGGATACACTGTCCTTCTCTGCCTGAAAATGCGCCCCTGCAACCTGCACCAAGCAGGTCACACGGACTACAGGGTATGGCAGAGCTGGAGCAGGACTGGGAGCTACAGCCAGGCCCAGCACCAGCCCCGTGATGGCACCCTGCTGTCCCCAGCATTTCACCTACTCCCTTTCTCAGTGGCCCGAGAGTGCCCAGAGAGCCCAGACACACAACTCCTCACCAACTGGCTGCAGATGTTGTCTTGCAGCTCGGCTGCATTCAGCTTCGTGTTGGTGGCGATGCTCTGCCGCAATCTCCTCTGCTCCAGAAACGGGGCGCACAGCTGCAGGGCACCCAGGCACGCCTAGCACAGGGAGTCAAGCCTGTCACTGCTGCCCCGCGACGGCTCGGCCCTTCCCAGGGAGCTCGCTGTGCTGCACTCTGCCAGTCCCGCCCCAGGCCCTCAGAGGCGATGGCCCTGGGTCTGGTGACTCGGCAGCGGGGAGCCTTCCCTGGCCTCCTCTGTGGCACCCTGCCAACAGCACCGCTGCCAGGTGGCTGCGCTGGTGAGGCTGCTACCAGCACTGTCCCTGTGGAGGAACAGGCAGTTGAGGCTGGGACGGTCATCAGGGACAGGCCAGAAAGTAAGGCAGAGATCTGTGACATGACTGCGAGGCTGCCCATGAGGGGTGACTGCCCTGGGCACTGCAGGGACAGCCTCGCTGGGACACTTTCGAGGGTGCTCTGCAGAGGGACTTTGCATCTGCCGAGCAGGCAGCAATGGCAGAAATGTCCCTGCAACAAGTTCCTGGGGTCTTACCAGGGAGGCTCCCGGGTCTGGGTCCCGGAGGTGAAGGACAAGGATGGCCCAAGTATTTTTCAGTTCTTCTGCGAAGAAGGACCTCCACCTACTTGTAGCAGAGGCAGCCAGCACCCCGTACAGGGTGAAGGATGCTGAGCGTAAAGACGCCTGCTCCTGTAACCGAGAACCCCCATTTGTCAGGTGGGGAGCTGGGCCACCTTGTACAACTGTTTCTGTAGCATCCAAATGCTGTTGGTTGAGCACAATGTCCTGAGAGAGGACCCCGAAGCAGGGGGTGACAAACCCCTCTTGGATGAGCCTGCGAGGGACCCATCGTGGGGGTGCTAGACAGCACCCTTCACTTACAGTCTCAAAGAAGGTCTCTGCAACTCTGGTGATCTCTCTGAAGGCAGAGCCAACAGCCTTCCCTTTGAGCTCAGTCACCACCTTTGCCAGTGCCAGCAGGCTCTCTGCCACAACCTCCACTGAGGCCACGTCCTCCAGGCTCCTCCGCAGTGTGTTCAAGATGGCTTCTTTGTGCTTGTGCAGCTGTCGAGCATAACACACACACGCCTCTCACTATTCCTGCCTCTAACCACTCGTTTTCCCCATTGCCCTCAGGGGCTGAAGCTGTCAGAAACAGCCCCTGAGCACATCGCAGCTTGAGGGTCCTACTGGCACCTCAGGCCCCTTTGCCACCCGGCTGATGCCCCAGAACATGGTGCCATTAGGGGAAAGACTCGCAGTTGCCTTTGCTGCTCTGCTCACCCTCTCGAATCCCTCTGCAGCCCACCTACCCACATTTCTCTGGTCAGAGGCTGCGTTCCACACAGAGGAAAATCCCTCTCACCTTCTCTGGCGCTCCAATGACCAAATTGCCAAGGCCGCGCACTGCCATCTGCCGCACGGTGCTGCTTGGGTCCTGGGATTTCTCCAGCAAAGCCCCCAGTATCGGTTGAAGGCACCTCCATTCCTGGAGTGTTGGCTCCTTCATCAGCTACAGAACAGCAACCTGGCCGTCAGCATCCAGAGCCGGACGCGGGCCAGGTCCCGGGACAGCAACTGCCCTGGGCACCTCACAAGGAGGTACCGCAAGCCCAGGCTGGCTCTTTCCTTTGGGCCTGGCATCTTTCCTTTGAGCCTGACCCAGGCTGTGGCCTGGGGATGGGGAGATGCTGACGGTAGCACTGCCCCTGCCCATGAGAGGCCTCATGTCCACAACTAGGGGAGTCGGTCTCTTGAGAGGATTTTTTTGTTGCGTTGGGTCACTGGGGTCTCTCAGCAGAGCTGCTGAGATTGATCAAACCTGGAAACATGTCCCAGCTGGGGCCAGGGGAGGCCCTGGAAAGGGCGTTGCTGATAGAAAGCCCATCTGTAGCTCCTCTGCCACCACCAGTAGTGAGGTGGCACTGAGTGGTTTCAGGGACAATAGCATCCCTGGTAATAGCACAGGGCAATGACACAGCAGTGTCAAGAGAAGGGCAGCACCTCTGAAGCCTCCCACAAGGGGAATCTGCTCCCATTCTGACTGCGACTCTTTCCACCAGCACCTTCCCCAAGAGCAGCGTCATGAGAAGATGCCTCCCAAACTTCTCTGTCCCACCTTCTCTCTTACCTCTGCAAAGAAAGCCGCAGCCATGACCCGCAGGTTGGCTGAGGGGCCATCCAACCACTGGGTCAGCACCAGCACCACAGGCAGTGAGATGGTTCCAGCGCGGAGCAGCACCCTGCACGTAGAGCATAGGCAGGCAACACCCAATTACAAGGGAGGCTCTTGGCCTCAGGGTTCCCAAATTCACCTGCTCCCATGCAGGCTCTGCTTGGCAACGTGGAAACACCCCGGCCAAAGGGAAGGGTCCCACCAGCCCCTCCTGGCTTGCAGCCAAGCGCCCTTGGGGCTCTCACCCGCTCAGCAGACAGACACCGTCATGGTGAGTCCGCGGGTCTTCCAGGGCAGTCCAGGCTCCCTGCTTCCTCAGGAGCTGCAGCCATTTCCCCTCAAGGCATGCGTGCAGCACTGCCTCTAAGGTCTCAAGGGAAAGCCTGGGGGAAGAAAGAGCAGCAAGGCCTGATCACAGCAAGAGGCAGCTCACACAGAGATGAGGAAACACCACCACAGCCTGCCAGGCATTCCTTCACCTGTGCACATACCCCTGAAATGACACCTCACAACCCTAAAGTCTGCCAAGACGGAAAAAAACAGGCCTTTTCAGACTTCCTGACACCCCAGACTCACTGGCAGCCCTAGAACCCCCAAGGCTCCAGACTTTGCACCAGAGACGCAAGGGCTACAGAGCCCAAAGTCTCTTTGCAGCTGCTTTTGGACAAGAATGACCTGCAGGCAGGACCATTAGCGGAGCACAGGCCTTTCTTTGAGGAACCCCACCAAAAGATCCCTGAGGCTGGACATGGGCTGCAAGGTGCAGGAACAAGTATGTCACTGTGGGGGTGTCTGGCACCCTGCCCACGTGCAAGTGTGGCAGGTCTCCGCAGCCCTACGGCAGAGCCCAGCACAGCCAGGTGAGGGAACTTGACTGCCGCACAGCTGAGGACCCTGCAACAGTCCCCAGCCCTTAACATCCTCCCGCGGGGACCTGGCCTGGCCAGAGCAACTTGGGGGTTTATCCCACTCGCTGCTGGTCACTTCTCCAAGAGGAATCAGGGCAGAGGGAAAGGCACCTCCTGCAGGCAGGAGATGGGGGAAGCAAGGTCCAAGCCCTCCCTGGTACCAGCTGGTAACACTTTCCTTCTTGGGAATCAAAGTTCCTCCGTAAAAAGGGAAGTAAAACCAACCAAAATCAGTTTCCCCACCTAGGAAATGGGGCAGGGCAAAGTGCCACCTCGGGAACGTGAGTGAACATGGCCTGGTTATGGGGATCAGGTCCTGCCTCTCTGTCCCACTGTCTCCTACCTGCAAGGATTGTCATCGCTTGTGTGTCCCTTCAGGAACAGCTTTCCTCGAGGGCTGACTTGGGAAAACGGCATCTCCTTTCCCAGCGTGGCACTGATCTGCCTCAGCAGCACTGGGAGCAGCTCTGGGAGCAAGCACTGCACGGCCTCTGGGGTCTGCAGCATGGACACCACCTCAAAGATGGCACGAGTGATCTACCGAGAAATTCAACCAGAAACATCGTGTTAAAACAAGGGCTTTTCCCACCTGTCCCCTGCCCACCCTGGGGACTCTCACTGTCTGTCTGCAGCTTGGCTTTCTGCAGTAGCCCTGTAGGCTGGAAGCAGCAAAGGGTCTTGGCTGCCCCGAAGGGCTTGTCATGGCACCCTGCAGGGCTCAGGGATATTTGTAACGTGCACAGTGCCCCTTTGGCTGAAGGGCGATTTAGGATGTCACGTGCAAAGCTGCAGAAATGTGTCTGCCAGGGCACGTACCTTGAGAGGCTCCAGGGCAGCCTGACTGTCGTCTGCCTCAGACTCAGCAGAGCTGGTCCTGGGTTGCTCTTTCCCCGAGTGCTTCAGTTTTTCCATTAAAACCCTCAGGAGTTTGTTCACAAAGAATTTCCTCCCCAGGAGCCTCCACAGCTCTGTGGTATCACTGCAAAGCAGCAGAAGTTGCCCCATGAGCCCACTTCCACGCCCTCAACAGCAGCCAAATGCTCTCCTGGCCTCAAAGCAGCTGCAAGGGCCAGGCTCTGGGCACTGGATCTTGCCACTCTCAGGTTTCCTTCCCCAGGAACAGCAGAACCAGCTTCTCTGCTGGCTCCTCCTCAACCCATTGCTGGTGGGTCCTGCCCAGCCACTGGGCTGGGGCAGTGCATGTACCTGTCCATGGGCAGCTGCTTCTGCAAGAGGCTGTTGATGACAGCCCCAGGGTGGTAGTGGGCGAGCATGGACACCGCCTCAAACAGAAAGCATCGGAGAGTGTCCTGCTGCATGATCCGCATCCGGACATAAAGGATGCTCAGGATTTCTGTCACCTGAATGCAGACAAAAAGAGCTGTACTCTCCTTCTTTTCCTCATCCTCCTCCACAGCCCAGACATGTCCACTTGGCCAATGAGCAGTTTCTCCTCCCCAACCATTTCACAGGGGCCAGCCCTAAGGCTCTGGGCAGTTGCAGAGGGATGAGGACAGATCTCTGTTGCCAGTTAAGGGTGGCACCAAGGAGTGACTTGGGCTGAAAGACCTGCCTGTGGCCTCAAAGCCAAATGCAAGTGCAGCACAGCCTGAGCAGGGGAGGGGAGCAGAGGTTGTGACTGCACAGACTGCAGGAGACCAGGGCCATGGGCACACATCACCCCCAAAAGGGTCATGACTTGTCCCTAGAGGAATGCTGACTTGGGAGCACAACCAGGCTCAGGGAGAATGAAGGGGACTTCACAACAGCCATCCAACATCATTAAATGCAGTATGCTCAGAGTAAAACGCAGACAGTGCGTGGAGCTGGGGACCAAGGAGGAACGAGCAAGAAGGGGGACTGTGCTAGTGAACATGTTAAAACCCAAGAAACACCACGAGTCAGGAGGAAGAAAACCCCAGCATCAACGCCGTATTCCTCCTGGGGCAGGACTTGGGACACCAATGACTTGTTGCAACCTCCCTTCTTCTGTAGGCAGCACAGTGTCGTCTCCCATTGGGCCTGGGAAGCCCGGGGAGTGCTGAGGCTCGAAGACCTGGGGAGGAACTGGGCACTTTTGGTGCCTCAGCTCTAACTGCATTGGTTATGAGAGCAACTTTGGGTTGGCCCAGAAAGAGAGTTTGGCCCTGGAGAGTCCCTGTCACTGGATGAAGAACAACAACGTGATTAGGCTGTGGGCACTCAGATTCAGAAGAGCCCTTGGCACCGCACGCAAGGGGCAGCTCTGTAGCTCCTGGGACCTGCATGAGGAGCATGGCAACAGCTGAGATGGGAAGGCTAGAGCCCCAGGGAAAAGGTTTCTCTCACCTTGGTAAACATCTGTCCCCCACACGTCTCCAGGAAGGTCACCAGCCACTCGCCAGCAGCCTGAGCGCAGGTAGACCTCACTGACAGCATCCCATCCAGGGCAGCAGAAATGAAATCTGTGGCCTGTGCTGGGGGGATATATTTGCAAATCATCTGGGGAGAAATCAGAAACAGTGAGGGTGTATGGTGGTCCTGCACAACTGCACAGACAACCCTTGGCCTCTTCTCCTTCCCCAGTGTGCCTGAAAGCCCGACATGCTCAGCAGCTGCTTGCTGCTCACTAACCCTGGGCATGCACTGCAGCAGCTGTCCCAGAATGGAGCAGGGTCCCGGCAGGGAAGCAGGGAACCCAGGCACCATCTCCCCCCAGTCTGTCAGGGCCAGGTACCTTAGCAAGCCTGGAGGAAGGCTGGAGCAGAGTCTCAACATCTGGGGAGCTCAGCTGCTGGTACAACGGCTGCACCTCGTCCTCCAGCTCCAGCGTCTTGCCTGCAGTGGGCACCAGGAGAAAAGGGCAGTGATGATGACAGGCCTTTCTCCATGGGTCATTCTGAAGGAAGAATGCAGCCTGGCCCTGCACAGCCATGGGGTGATGCCTGGCTGGCCAAGGAACGGAGAAGCTGCTCCCACCTTGTATGCAGAGAAGGTGGCCAAGGCAGGCTCCTGCCTGCTGGCGGGATGTGGCCAGTGAATCGCAGACAAAAGGTGCCAGCAGTCCCACCATGGAGCCAAAGAATCCAAAAGAGTTTTCTCCCTGGGGAAAGAGAAGGCCAACAAGAAGGTCACAAGTGGCCCCATCAGCCCATCTCCCTCTCCTGGCTAGACATTAGGACAGGCAGCGGTGCAGCCCCACAGCCCAGAAGACCCCAAAATCAGTACGCGGTCCAGAGTAGAGCTCCCTGTTTGAGCAGCAGCCAGCAGGGAGAGGGGACACGGTGCACATGGGGTCCCTTCCTACCGTGAGCTCAAATCGCTCCTTGTAAGCACCCAGCAGTTGGGCGCAGGTCTGTAGGGCCCTCTCCCGCTCCCACTCCTTGGCAGAGCTGAGCCAGAACTCCAGGAGCTGTGGAAGAGCAGACCTGTCTCACAACAGGCATTCCCAGCAATCCCAGCCTGCCCACAACTACCCCAAACCTTGCCCTCCTGTACAGAGTCCTGACAAGGGGCTGGTGCCTCAGCAGCTGGTGCCTCAAGGCACTACAGCCCCTTGCCATCCTCATAGGCTGCTTGCAGAGGGCACCGGTCCAGACGTGTCCTCCCAGCCACCTTGCACTGACCCAACCACCTCCGCAGCCCAACTCTCCCCACACACCTTTCACCCAACACTTCACCACCTTCTCTATCATCCCACACATACTCACGTGCAGCATCTCTGTCAGCCAGCCAGAGGTGAGGTTTTCCTCTAGCAGGGCTGTCACAAGCTTGCCGAGAGCTCCCATGGTCTGTGCATGCAAAGACTGAGGGCAGGAGAGAAAGATGGGTGTTTGGCCGCACATGGAGACACACAGCTCTGCTGCAAGGGGCAGAGTGCAGCACTTGCTGCTCTGGGCATCCGTGGAGAGACTGGGAGAGAAGGGCCTGCAGGCACCTGTACATGCAGAGCCTCCGCTGTTGTCGCCCCTTTCTCTCCTGCTGGCGCCAGGGCAGGCAGGGGCATCACACTGTGTAAACACTGATCCAGGAGGTCATGGTTTTCCTCCTGGGTCAGTGATGGCTTCAGTTTGCTGACAGAAGGAAAAGAAAACAGGAGAAAACTACCACTCCAGCAAGCAGGTCAAATGACAATCTCCCACAGTCCCGGCAGAAAGATCCTACCTCAAGTGCCCCAGGGCCAGAAACACCTCCTGGCGTACAGGGGACGCCAGGCAGTCTTGGGGCTCTGCCTTCATGAAGCCCTGGAGGTCACAGAGAGACACGCGTACAGTGGGCTGTGGGTGTAATCCGGAGCCCTCCTGCTGGCAACAGGCTCTTCACCTTGTTGCAGGCAGGGACCCTGGTGCCCCCATGGCTCCCACACCCACTGTTCTTCCCAGTAATGTCCACGGGGCGCCAGCACCCAAGGGTCCCACCGCCTGGGGAGGAGGTTCGGGGAACTCCAGCAGTCACACGGGGACAAGGGAGAGCCCTGCAGTGCCGGCCTGGTGCTCACCAGCAGGGTGCCCAGCAGCTCCCGTTTATAGCAGAGCTCCACACGGTGGGAGCCCCCAGCCGCCTGCATGGCCCGGCTGACCTCAGCCACGCTCCGGCTCAGCGTCACCTTGAGCTCAATGTCCTACATCCCAGGAGAGAGAATCGCAGCAGCACCCACAAGAAACTGCTCACAGTGCCAGAGGCTGAAAGAGGAGCCCAGCCCCAAGGCAGAGTGTGGACGGGCCACTGTATCTTCTGAGAGCCTCAGGCACCTTGGCTCTGCACCCAGGTTGGAGGAAGGAAACCTCCTCTTCCCTCCTGCAAAGAAGCTCCCCTGGGAAGGCACAAGTTTTCCTGGGTATCTACCACAAGGAGAGCCTGGTCTCTGGCCTGGGGAGTGGGAGGGTTGGTCTGGTGTGCCTGCAATGGGAAATGTGTGTGGGAAGGGCAGGAAACAGGGTCCCACGGGGCAGGACTTACCTGGGTGGAGAGGGTGAAGCCCAGCACCTGGAAGGCGAAAGGGAATAGAGTAAGAGGCAATGAACTAAGGCACAGGACATGCAGCAATGGCCCCAGAGCGCACAGACACTGCAGGCAGCACAGAGCAACAAACACTGATGCGTCCCCCTTGGGCACTCGCTGCAGCTGGGGGCTTGCACAAATTTCATGGCAGACTCAGAAATGCCAAGAGCAGCTGCAATGCAGACACAGGGATATGCAGAAGGATATGGGCTGGGTTTGCAGCTTGTCCTTCAGGTACACACCTCCTCCTTGGGTTTCTTTGCTACGAGGTGGCCTGTCACGATTAACTCCAGCTTGGAGCGGGGCAGGGGTAGATGTGCATCCACGTGGGCAGGCCTGTGCCCGTGCACCCACCTGGCAGCTGGCATGGTAGTGCTGCAGGATGTGTCCCATGATGTCCCGCTCCACGCAGGCCAGGAGTTGCTCCCGGGGCGCACAGAGCGCGATCCGGCTGTAGGCCAGCATGAGCGCCATGTGCATCCCGGCTCTCATTCCCTGCTGGTATTCCTGCGCCATGTGAGAACCCATGAGATGTCAGCCCTGCACCTCTGTTGGGCTCCAGTTCCCCCTGCCTCCCAACCAAGGAGCCGCCCTGCTTTTCATGCAGGAGCCACCTTGCGGCTGCTACTGGCTTAGAAGAGAAAATAAAGAAAAATGCAAAAAACAAACAAACAAAAAAACCCCAAAAAACAAAACAAAACAAAAAAACACCCAAAGAAACAAACAAAAAAAAACAAGCAAACAAGCCAAGACACTGGGAATACTTTACCTTCAGGCGTTTGAAAGCCCCTGACACTGCTCTTTCCTCTATGGAAGCCCCGAACTCCTGCACCGCCTCCAAGGCAAGGCAGAAGTGGCTCTCGGCAGAGCCAGCTAAAACAGAAATCATTCCCTGCAGCACAAGAGAGAGGGTGAGGTGGCCTCTGGCAGACACTCAACCACAGCAGTCTCTGAACAACACTGTGGTATCATCTGACAGAGAAATCAGAAGAGCCTCCCGTACTCCACTGAGAGACATCACTGCTCCCCAGGAAATATGGGGGGGGCTCTGGGGAAAGCAAGAGCAAAAGAAGGAAACTTGCCTCTCTCTCAGATGCCTCCAAATAATTTGTTCTTAAGAGATATTTCTTTATTTCCCCACGGACATAGGGGACATGATGACACGCTGCCAGGGACATCCCAAGAGCTTTATACAGGAAGGCCTGAAAGACAAGAGGCCATCCCAGACACGGTCATGCTCAAGCTAGCGGAACAGAGCTGAGCTGCGACGCACCGGCCTGCATGAGGCACGGCTGAGCTGGCTGCAGCACCCGGCCGTTCGGCCCATCCCCGCTGCCCACTGGCACAGACAGGAAAGCCCATCCGGGAAGGGACAGAGAATCAGGGAGCCCGGCCTGTCCACAGACGACAATAGCTGCAGGCACAGCCCTGGGCTGTGCTCTCGCTCGCTGGGAACGTGAGCAGAAATGAAGGCTCGGCAGGACCCACCTGCTCCCGGGACAGCCGGGGGTAGCTGCCCCTCTGCTGGCTCAGCTCGAAGCACAGGCCCATGATCCAGGCCTGGCTCTCGATCGTCTCCAGCGATGTCCTCAGGAACTAGAGGAAACACAGGTTGAATCAGACTCTCCCTGGACCCTTGGGCCAGGGCTGCTCGGCAGGCGCCCCGGTCTCTCCCTCCCTTCAAACAGGCAGCCTGAGAGCCTCGTGGTGCACATGCATCCTGCAGCCATCGCTTGGGTTTAGTGAATCTTACCTTTGTGCCAAAGTAGGTTTTCCACAAGAGACAGCCCCAAATCCCACTCCACCTTCACAGCAGTGCTCTACCTTAAGCAGAAGGCGCTCCCACTCAGCTGAATCCAGGCATCCCTCACTTCTCCCTGCAAAGCCACAGCAAGAAAACACTCTACGTTACTTAGCTCAGGGGGCTCCTTTGCATCCAAACACCCTCCCACTCCCATGTCAGAAGGGAGCAAAGCAGTGAGGCACGAGCGCTGATGCCAAACTCTTCGCTCAGCCCAAAGCACCTGATGGAGCTGTCAGGGGGCAGGGTCACTGACTCAGGTCAGCCACAGACCTGCTGGTTCCGACCTCCAGTGCTCAACTGTAACTCCCAGAAAAAGCCAGGCCATCACACAAGAGCACAGACCACACACACACCTTGGCACCAGGACACATTTCACCCAATCCCAGGAGCGCCAAGTCCATCCCTCCCAAACACCCATCCAGCAAGGATGCTGGAAAGCTGCAAAACCTGCTCGTGGTGGTGACAGGCAAGAAAAGTCCCATCCCACAGGGAACCTGTTCCTGGGCGTGAGCACGCATTCCCTGGAAGGGCAATGGCTGCAGAGAAAGCTCTGAGAAACCAAGGGCCAATTCCCCTCCCCTGTGCCTGGACGCTGCCTTTTCCTGCCTCCCCTTTGGCTTCTCCAGCCTCTTCCTCGCCAGTGGCACTGTACCTTCCAGGTAGCGAAGCAGGAAGGGGATTTTCACGGCCCACACCATCCCCACGGCACTGTGGATCTCTGCAGACAAAGCCTGCAGCAGCCGCAGGGCAGGGATGCCGCAGCCGCCGCTGGCATGGGGAGCAGCCGCCACTACCTGGGGGAGGGCAGGCGAGAGCTGGGCTCGGGACGCCCGGAAGAGCCGCAGCTTCTCCCAGGAGGGTGGGTGCTTGGCTCTGGCTGAGCTAGGAGCTTCCCCCGCCCTGAGCTGGCTTCTCCCCTGCACAGCAACAGGATCTGCATGGGGCACATGAGGCTCCCACTCACTCTTGCGCACCTTTTCCTTGACCCAGCCTGGGAATTGGCTCTGCCTCAACCTCTCCTGTCACTTTGAGGCCCCAGAAGTGCTTTCCCCAAGGCCCCTACTCACCAGCAGGCGAGACAACAGGGCCTGCGGTGTCGGCAGCTTGGCTGTGAGGAGGAAAAAGGCTGTTGAGACACCCTATCCCTTCCCAGGTCAGGCAGCCTCCATGCAGTCCACAGGTCGGTGATTGCCACAGACCCGTCCTGGGCGCCCCTGGGGGCTGAGGAGACGGAGGTGCAGACAGCTGCACCATGGCTGGAAACACCCCCAGGCCACAGGCAGAAAACTGCAAGCACTTGAGTGAGGGGTCTCTGCTGGGTGTGACGAAATGCAGCAAAGAGCTCCCTCACCCCAGCCAGAGGGAGACAGTTCTGCTCTTCCTCACTCCTGGCCTCCTGCCTGGGCCTAGTGGGCAGCAGAGCGACGTGGATTGCCCTCTACCCTGACACACAGCCTGGCAGAAATGTGGCAAGAGTTTTGGGTTCCTACCTCGCTCCCAGGAGGCTACGACATCAGGCTCCTCCTCTCTGTCCTCATCTCCTGCTCTCTGCAGTCTTTCAGCCAGCTCTCGCAGGCACCGGGAGAGTGGGACCAGCATGCCAGTGTACTGGCCTGGCACCACGTACTGGAGTAGCCGCGGCCACAAGAGCTGCAGAGAAGAACAAGGCAATTCAACACATTGCAGTTCCCACCTCAGGGAATGCTCAAGGGCTCATTTTAGCTCTAGGTTGGAAACAACAGTTGGAACAGCATTTTCATTCTCCTTGTGTATGTAAGGACCTGTTTGGAGAGCAGATTGGGTAGAGAGGGGTAGGGAGAAAGCAGCAGGGCACAGGATGACTTACTTTGGTCATCCCTCTGACAGAGACATCCAGAGAGTGCAGGATGTCCAAGCACAGGGCTTGAAGATCTATTTCTTCCTGTGCTTTTGCCTGAGAAAGGTTTCCCTGTGCCTGAAAGACACAGTTTGGACAACACCAGCACCAGTCTGCCCCTGAGACAGAAGGATGAAGCATAAATCACTCAGCACTGCCATGATGCTCCCCTGGGAGCACCCATCTCTGGCACCAAGCCAGCGCAAGGAGATTGCCCTGCAATGGGGCTACGCACAGTAACAGCACTGGCAGTGCGGCCCAGCAGAGGCAGAGCAGCACCCTTGTCAGGCTTTCCCTTTCCTCGTCCCCAGAAAGGGCCAATGGGTGCCCAAGAGCAAAGCAGCAAACAAGAATCCCCTCACTGCAATGGGCTCCAGACAGAGTTGGTGAATACTGCTCATGCCTCGGGGCCAATACTGGAGTCGGTTCGGTTACGTGCTGGTGGGAGGCCAAAATGTTCCCCTAGCATCCTTGGAGATCCCCCACAGTAATAGCGATGGGACTCTGCTTAGCCCTCTGAACAGGCCACTACATTTGTTGTGGGGGGCTCCCATTTCCAGCATGCCCAGGGGGGCTCCCAGGATACCCCAGGCACAGAGTGAAGTCCAGGTGTCACACTCTGCCCTCACCAGTCTGCTGGAGGCCTGGTCGAACTTGGTGAAGACATTGGCCACCAGATCCCAGGCCGAGCAGCTCTGGACACTGCAGCTGAGCAGTTCTTGGGTGAAGCGCAGAACTGCCCTTGCCACCTGCCACATGCGAGATTGCAGTTACCCCCTCTGCTCAAAAGCTCACGGGCACAGGCCTTCGCACCGAGCCAGCTCATCTCGACAGCAACAGGAGCCAGGACTCATCCCCACCGCCCTCACGGGGCACTGGCAATGCCCGGGCCCCAGCCCTGCTACCGGGAACAGGGGGCACAGGGAAACGCTCCTCTAGACTCGAGCCTGCAACAGCAGCCCTGCTAACGGCTGGCCAGGCTCTGCCCTGAGCTAAAGGTCTCTCTGCTGTGCATCGTGGTGCGGCCCTTCGCCACGAAGCTCACCTTCCTGCTGGGGTCTCTCAGCACACAGTGCACCGCCTGCACAAGCTGGGATAGGCTCTGTCCTCCCTCCGCTGCTGGGAAAGACGGGGAGAGAATTGTGTGGAGGCAGAGCCCTCATTTCTGCAGGGATCTGACAAAGTTCCCAGCTCCGGTGCGTATACACCTGAGTAGTGCAGAACCCAAGAGACAAGACTGTGATGGCTGAGGAAGCAGCAGAGTCCTCGAGTGACTCTGTTTACAGACACAGTTGCGTGACAGGTCTGACTGTTACAACAACACAGAGCACTGCAGAAACAGGATGGGTACACGCAGCTCATGTCTGTGCCCTGCCATGGAGCACTGAGTGCTGTCACTGGTGCATTTGCTCTCTCAGATCCCTATCCTGCAGCTGCATAGCAGCTTGGATGGGGAACATGCGCTCTGCAGCTCATTTCACACATTTGCACATCAATTGGAGATGTATCTTCCCCCAGCCCAGTTGTCCAAACCCCTGGCCAGCCTCGCTGTGCCCCGTGGCACTGACCTGCAGAGCGCACCAGGGCTCTGAGCAGATCCACGGCCACCACGCGTGCGGCCTCGCTCTTACTGCCCTT